GATAGAAACTTGCCCTAATGAATTGTGGTGCCAGCATGTACTTGCTAGACTTATTCTTCATTAAAAAGAAGGTCGTCACCATTCTATATATTCTTATTTTTGTAGTGCTGGGTCCAGTGTGTGACTGAAAATGTTGAGCAATAAGGAATGTGAATTCTCAGCAATGTGTCTTCTCTTTTGCTAAACACAACAAACAAACCAAAAAACAAACTAGAGACGAATCTTTAAACAACATCACTCCATCCCCAAACTGTGTTACTTACTATAATGTTTACTGTCTACATGTAAAATATCTTTTTGAAATACACAAAGAGAGAGCATTGTATATAACTTCACATTGAAATACGATTAAATAAGGACTGTTACTTCTCTTGTCCAGTATTAGTTTCTCCTGGCTTTGGTTTTCTTCTAAAGTATGCCTCGAGGAAATTCCCTTGTCATAAATTAGTCTGTCATACTTGCTTTGCTTTGGTGGAAAGTTTTAATCAAATATAACCCGAACAAAAAAGATTTAAATAGTCTAGTTTGAGTTTTTCAGGATGACCAAACAGACCTTTACTTGTGAGCAGAAATGTGTATTAGATGTTGTAAGCTAGGTACAAATCTGAGACATTTTGAAATCTATATATATTGTGTTTTCAAGTTAGTAACAAATTTGACACATTCAGTTGGGCTGTGGAAGTGAAATAAGTTTTTTGGTTTACCATTCTCTTCAGATCATTATTATTAATAAAGAGTGGCCAACTGTTTTATTTGTTGAGGACTACAAGGATATGTTAGATAAATCTTGAAGTAAAAAGACTTGGTTGCTGCAATGCAGTTTAAATTAGGAGTAGAATTACATATTAGAAAGGGAATTGACTTCAAAGTCACAGACTTGGGTTGAAATTCAAGTTATAACTTTTATTTACTGAATTTTTGTCAATTCACTAAACTGTTTATTCTGGCTCCGTTACCTTCACTATAAAAAGAAAAAAAATAGATTCTACTATCAAATGACATTTTTTGAGAATTAGAAGAACTATATGTAAATCAAAGTTAAGAAATTATAAATATTAGATTCTTGTGAATCAGCAATAATAGTTTTTCCATTCAAAAAGATGTCACCACTACAAATCTAACTGTATCCTTCACCATACGATTGACCCATTTTAGTGAGCATAATATATAGAGATGTTAATTTATCATGAACACCTACCACCTATAAAATGTAATAGATCAGTGTTATTTCAAATAAAAAATAAAGTTTAATGAGTCACAGAGAGTCAGACTATTCAAATATTTAAAAGGCACTTTTGTTAGTGTCAGGCACTTTACAAAAACATATTCACCTTCACTTTTTGTCATAACATTCATTATTAAAAACATCTGGTTCTCTCACCTGCTTCAATAATATCTGTTTGTTTTTTTTAAAGATTTATTTATGTATACAGAACTGGGGTACAAGCTAGAGGTGCAGGGGCGGTGAGAGGATTCACCAGAGACAGAGCAGGGAGCAGAACAGGCCAATTGACGAAGCACACTGCTGAGGGGAGCAACTGGCCAGTCAGGAGAGGTCTGCTGCACCATGTGGATCACCTTTGGAGTAGTGATTGAACTCATGCTGAAATGGCTTTAGCTTTTTAGTGCTGTGCTTTAACCTGCTGTGCCACCACGGAGGGCCCAATATAGCTGTTTTTTTTTTTTTTTTTAAACCAGGCTTTACTTTTGGCTTTAATAGGTAAATTTAAAAAAAAATTTAAAATTTCTTTATTTGTATATATTTTATATCAGGTATAGTCTCCAGAGAATTCCACCACCAATTCACTTGTTCATCATCACCTTAGTCCCTTGTACTTTTCCCACCTTAGTTTTGTACCCTGTCCTTGTAGAATGTTGCTGATTTATAGTTGTCTGATTATTTTTGTTGTATTTTTTTAAATGTTATTTTTACCCCCCCATCCCTTATTTGTTTTTCCTTCCATAACCATCCAATGTTTTTCTTTTTCTTTCTGACTTACTTTACTGAGCATAATCCCTTCTAATTCTATGTCACTGCAAGTGGCATTAGATTATCTTTATTTTGTTTTCTGAATAACATTCCATTGTGTATATGTACCACATCTTCTGATCCAGTCATCTAACAGGAAAATTTTAAAATAGGTGTGAAGTTAGGTATGTACCGTTTTATCGTTTTATAGTAGTCTTTTTTTTTTTTCCTGTTTTGTCTTTTTGCTTAACTTTTGTTTTCTGTCCTTTGTCAGGTTTTCTCTTTCTTTGGCTCCTCATCTATGCTGGTATAATTTGGGAAAGAATATGAATATACCCAGATGGCTGAATAGCAGTAATATCTTAGGAAAGGAAACATTGAAATTCATGCTTTCATAATAGCCACAAAATCAAACATACTTAGGAACCAATTTAACAAGAAAGGCAAGGAATTATATAAAGAAAATCATAAATTACTGCTACTTTCTTCTATTTAAGCAAAGTTGAAGTACTTTAGAGAAGCTTTATTTTATCTAATTCTATGTTTTTCTTTTTTGTGTTGCAAACATCTTAAACATTTCTCCTTTTGCTTTGTCCTTTAAGAACACTCAATTACCAAAGGATGCCTTTCTTTTTTCTCTCCCTGTATTTCAAAGAATGCTCTTTTAAATCACCCCTCCCTTTTCAAGTAGCTTCTGCTGCTTTAAATCATGCCTGTCCCTTTGAAATTTCTTCCTTATAGTCTGTGATCTGATATTCCTAAATATTTCCAGTATTTTCAGATTTAGTGTGGATTTAATAGTCTTTTCTGGCTGTCATTCCAAATTACCTTTAATCTCTTTCACTAACCATCCTCTTCTTCTATCTTTTCTATAATTTTTCTTAGTCTACTTTTGCTTGCCACAAAGCCTTGTGACTTGGATGGAGGTGAGAATGTCTGCACGGAGATGGATAATTTTTCTCTTTTTAGCCAGTTAAGCTGCAATTTTGTTATTCTCTATCTTTGTTATGTTATAGTTTATATAGAATCTAATTTTTCCTTACCATTTGAGAAGTTTGGGGAGATAGTTATATAGTTGCCATGGTCTTCAACAACCTTGAAAGTCCTGGATTTATTAATAGTGGTGGCATAACAAGCCATCCACATGGAAAGAAAAAGTTAAATGTAATGAGTAGTATTTATTTAAATTCCACACGTCTTAAGGACTCATGTGTTGTAGTTTCTTTTCTTTCTTTGTTTCACTTAAGAAAATCTGGGTGAATACTTATGTCATCTAGAATTTGTATGTATTCTGGTGCTGGAAACGTGAGGATGCTCTTTTTTTTTTTTTTAAGATTTATCTATTCGTACAGAACTGGGGTACAGGCCAGAGATGCAGAGGGCGAGAGGATTCACCAGAGACAGAGCGGGGTACAGAACAGGCAGATCGACGAAGTACACCGCTGAGGGGAGCAGCGGGCGGGCCAGGAGAGGTCTGCCTCGCCATGTGGATCTCCTCCGGGGCAGGCGGGGATCGAACTCATGAGGAAGTGGCTTAAGCCTCTTTGTGCTGTGCTTTAACCCGCTGCGCCACCAGGGAGGGCCCGAGGATGCTCTTTTAATGTAGAATAGAAAGCAGAAGCTATGGAAGAACAAATGTATGTGTATGCAAAAGATAGAGTTTGAAGGTTATTTGCAGTATTGAGGACAGTGATAAAACATGACAACTTTTACAAGTTGACAAGAAAGATAATGCAATAGAAAAATGCATAACTAGAAGACATGAATTAGCATGTCCCAGAAGAGTATATCCACATGACTAATAAACAATAACATACTCAGGTTAGTAATCAGGGTAATTCAAATCAAAGCAATAATAGCATGTCCTTTTACAGCTGTCGAACTAGGAGAATTAGAGAGCAAAATTACCTATGATTTTCAAGGGTGGAAGTGAATCAGGTATTTTTATGTCTTCTTCATAGTGCTTGCTGGTTTTTAGTAAACCCCTACTGAATGTTATGGTTATGGCTATCATGTATTTTCTGTGAAATTTTGTCCACATCTTTCCATCATAAAAATTAGGTTGTTATTTTCTTTCTGAAGCACAGGAGTTCTTTGTGTATCATGGAAGCCAGTCTTCTGTGGGTTATATACTTTGTGACTATTTTCTCTCAGAGAACTTAAATTTTAACTAGTTTTTTTTTTTCCCCGCAAATATATCCTAAGTACTTAACTATGTGCTAGAGTATAGCAGTAAACAAGTATATACTCTGCCCTTTTGGATTTACTATAACCTCTCAGTCCAGCCAAGGCCATCAGTAAGAAGGATCCTTCAGTAGTTCAAGAGATGATGGGTTGGACTAGAGATTTAACATGGAGAGGTAAGCTGGTTAGATTATAAATGTATTTTGAAAGTAGAACTAGCTAGCTGGATGTGAGAGAGGAATTAATGAATAGTCAGTCAAATTTTTTGGTCAAAAGAACTAGAAGGACAGAGTTACTATCATTTATTGAGATGGAAAATTTATAGGTGGAAATGGTGGTATTAGTGAATTAGGAACTCAGTTTTGGATATTTTATTATTAAAGTTAAGTTTGAGCTATTAGATACCTATTTGGAGAGGTCAATGAGTAATTGCATATATGTTTGGAATTCAGGGAAGAGGCATGGTTTGGAGATACAAAGCTGGGAGTAATCAGAATCTAGAATCTACTTTCACATTAATTGTAGGACTAAAACCTGAAAAGAAAAGATACACAAGTAAACATTTTTTAAGTAAATATTAAATTTGAGGAAATTTTTGATTTATAAATATTTTGCAGAGATGATACAGAGTTATCATATGCCCTTTATCCATTTCCCCCTAAAATTAACATCTTATATAACCATGGACCATTTTTCAAAGCTAAAATGATATATTACCATGAACCAAAATCCAATCTTTTTGTGTATTTCACCCATGGAAGCTCACCAATTATAATGTAAAGTGAAGTTTGAAAACATGTTATAAATCATCCATGACTGCATTTTCTTCTTCCTTTACAGAACTAATGGCTGAATACTAAAATCAACATGGCAACTATGGTTCCACCAGTGAAACTGAAATGGCTTGAACACCTGAACAGCTCCTGGATTACAGAGGACAGTGAATCTATTGCTACAAGAGAGGGAGTTGCTGTGCTGTATTCTAAACTGGTCAGCAATAAGGAAGTAGTACCTTTGCCCCAACAAGTTTTGTGCCTCAAAGGACCACAGTTGCCAGACTTTGAACGTGAGTCTCTTTCAAGTGATGAGCAGGATCACTATTTGGATGCTCTTCTTAGCAGCCAGCTAGCACTAGCGAAAATGGTATGTTCAGATTCCCCATTTGCTGGGGCACTTCGAAAACGACTGCTTGTACTCCAGCGTGTCTTTTATGCACTTTCTAATAAATACCATGACAAAGGCAAAGTGAAACAGCAGCAGCATTCTCCAGAGAGCAGCGCTGGTTCAGCAGATGTCCATTCTGTCAGTGAACGTCCTCGCTCAAGCACCGATGCACTAATAGAAATGGGTGTTCGAACTGGTCTAAGTTTATTATTTGCACTTCTAAGACAAAGTTGGATGATGCCTGTGTCAGGACCTGGTCTCAGTCTTTGCAATGACGTTATTCATACAGCAATTGAAGTTGTGAGCTCGTTGCCACCATTATCTTTAGCAAATGAAAGCAAGATTCCTCCAATGGGCTTGGACTGCTTGTCACAAGTAACAACATTTCTTAAAGGTGTAACTATTCCCAATTCTGGGGCAGATACTTTAGGTCGCAGATTAGCTTCTGAGTTGCTGCTTGGTCTGGCAGCTCAGCGAGGTTCTTTGCGGTATCTTCTTGAATGGATAGAAATGGCTTTGGGGGCTTCAGCAGTTGTAAATTCCATGGAGAAAAGCAAACTACTATCAACCCAGGAAGGAATGATCAGCTTTGACTGCTTCATGACTATTTTGATGCAAATGAGGCGCTCCTTGGTACGTATCATAAAATTTCAACTTTAAAATTCTTATCTAACAATTTTGGGAAAGTCAGCCTAGCTTTTAATGAATTGCCTTCAATAGTGGATGATTTGAGAGTTCTACTGGTGATTGTTAGGTTAGGTAGATATTTTGCATATTGTAAGTGAAGAAGCTGTTACACATCTAGTTGGTACAGTGTTATAAATAAGACCACTGACTAAAGAGTCAAGATTAGTTCATTTTTATGTCTTTTTGTGCATTTGAGAATTTCATTTACCTACTTTTGTGTTTTAGTAGACTCTTGTAAAATGAGGAGCATTGACTGTGGAGTGTGTATGTCTTTTGAAAAAAATCTGTTTTAACACTTCAGTTTTTATTGAGCACACACTATATGCTAAGTATTATTCGACATCTAGGGATACAGCAGAGAAATATATAGTGTTTGCCCCATTGAGATAGCAGCCAGGTAAGAGAATCAGACAATAAATATTTAATTTTAGTTAGTGAAACACCCTAAGAATTAAATTGGGTGTGTGGAATACAAAGTGAGAGGGTCAGAGCAGAATCTGGGGAGGGGTAAGGTGTGCTGTTTTAAAGTGATTAGGGAAGGAATCAGAACGTTTGGGCAGAGGCCTGAATGAACCAGAGTCCTGAACTATGCAAATACTTGTGGATTAGTGTGTTGTTGTTGGAGGAAAATTTAACTGCTTGACTATCATGAAAAAAATGAACCTTGGCTATCATATTAAAAGCCACATGATAAAATATAGTGCAGTAGTCACTGCACTATGATCATTGCCAAGAAATTTTAAGACTTAACTGTGATGCCTTTGTGAAAACTAAGAATGAAAATTTGAAGAATGTAAATTAGAATGTAAAGAATGAAACACTTTATATAAATGGACTTAATTTCAATTGGATTACACTGTTTTTGCATTGACCAGTGAACAAATTTATTTAGTAAAAATAACTAAAAATAACAAATTTATTTAGTAAAAATAACTAAAAATACCATTTACAAGTTATATATGTGCATTTTAAGACTTTTTTCCTTCAAAAACAAGTGGAAATTTTAGTTTGCTGGGAATGTTTTATAAAAGGCAATTATTTAAATTTATTTTCTAGCCTGGGCATTTAAATTTTTGCATAGTTTACATTTTGCATTTGGTAAATACTGGGTCCTATTTTACAAGTCATTTTATTATAATTAACTACTTGCAGATTTTAGATCATAAGAGCAATGAAATTTTGAATTTCTTTTAAAAAAATATTTAATTATGCATAAGGAATGCATACATACTCCTCTGGGGTATAGGCCAGAGGTGCAAGAGATGAGAGTCAGAGTGGGGCCAAGAGCAGGTGGATCTACTGAAATAGACTGCTAAGGGGAGCTGCAGGCAAGACAGGAGAGATCTGCTGTGCTATCTATGAGTTAGCTCCCTGGCCAGGAATTGAAAGCAGGCCATAGTGATAATAATGCTGAGATTTAAACCTTAGGCCACAAGGGAGGTTCTGAATTTCTTATTGTGAAATAAAATTAAGAAGAGCAGTCATTATTTTGTTTGGGATATGGAATGTTCATAAGTGTCCTCGCTCTATGCTTGAGTATACTTCAGGATCTTCACCTGAAATAGAAACTAGAGTTGTAGATGCAGTGATTTAAATTGAAAAAAAACTTTTGAGGGAGTAAAAAGAAAAAGTTATGAAAGATAATAAGGCCCATTTTTGCTTTCTTATTCATACTTAACTACTCACTCTACATCTGTTAAAATTTTATTTTGATTCTTAGTACTTTCTGGTAGCATTCTTTAAATTTAAACTGCTTTCAAATATGTAATGCCATTATTGACCTAAAATAATGTGTATATCATAGTCACATGTAAGTATTTCTGTGAGAAGTCATTTAATTTCACATTTTAGAGTCTATTTTGTATTGCTTGCCTTGGTTACAAAGAAAAGACATTAATTATTGCATGGCTTAGTTATGTGACTGTATACTTGCCCAGAGTATATTTCCTTCTTAAACACAATGCTAAATACCCTGTTTCAGGGGCCTCTTCTCCATTACCTTCCAAAGGCCTTATCCTACTATATGGCTCTTTGGAGGGAAAAAAGTACTCCAAGAAGTCAAATTGCTTTTTTTGATTTCTTTAGCCTCATTGTCTTTTAACATACTGGAAATAGGTTTCTATGCCTATTTGGCTATTATTTTAAATCAACTCTATAAACATAAGAAACTATACTTATCTACCTAGAGTTTCAGACTTCATTTAATTAACCTGTAATAAACAATCCATTCCTTTTTGGCTTTACTTATTTACTCTCCCTAGAACCTGGAATAAAGGAGGCAGAATGAAAACCGTAGTTAAGTGCTTATTAGCTACCAGATGCTTTGTATGCACCATTTCATCCAATTACCATATTAATCTGTAAGGAAGATATTTAACTTATACTAAGGATAAAGAAAGAAATTGTGGTATTTATCCTAAATTCACGTATCTATTTATTTGGCAAAAGATCTGGAAGTATAACAAACACTCCTGATGGAGTGCTTTATTGGTCAGGCACTTAGGTAACTTAATTCTTAAAAAAACTGAGTATATCTGCAAAGCCTGTATTGTTTTCTGACTTCTGTATGCAGTTTTTACTCTGTTTATGTTAAATTGGCTAGTTTTTTTTCTGAATATTGACCACCCAAAGAATGTATAATTGGCAAAATTAAGTTTCCTCATCTGTTTCGGAGCCCTGTGATAATTTTTGAGGCATTGGCACTTAATTTATTGCCTTCATCTATAGCCAGGTCTTTTATAATATATAGAAGTAAAAGTTGATTTCATGACTTCATGTTAGGATTTGATTTAAATGCACATAAAGATTATATAAATATTTCTTAAATATTTTTGTGGATTGTTTTAAGTGATGTAATGATTTACATTTCCCTTCTTCCCAAACTATGTCCCACAATGTTTGAACTATAGGGTTCATCAGCTGATCGAAGCCAGTGGAGGGAACCAACCAGAACATCTGATGGCTTGTGCTCCCTGTATGAGGCCGCTTTATGTCTCTTTGAAGAAGTACGTAAGAATCACAGCTTTTACATTAAATAGTTTGTCTTACATTGTTATAGCATGCATTCATCCTTTAAACATAATCCATTCAAACTCTGAAAATGATACAAAAGAAAGTGACCCCAGTGTTTGCTTCTAGAAAGTTGGGCTGAGGTGTCCTGACATCAGAAGTGGAAAAGAGACATAATTTGTAATGCATTCCCCTAATTCATTTTGAACTTTTACCATGTGCAGATAATTTTTAAAAGTTGTATTAAGAAAATTACAGAAAGACATACAAACATGATTTAATATGAATTATTATAAAATAAATATCCTTCTTAGCTGTACCTAGATAAAGAAATAAACCAACCACTCATGAAGTCCTTTCATGTCCTTTTTCTCCTCCCCTAAGTAATCAGTATCTTGACTTTTACAATTATCACTTTCTTGAGTTTCCTTATAGCATCTCTAAGTGCTATATTCAGTTTTGCTTGTTTAAAAAAGAAGTAAGTCTTTAAATCTATACCTCCCTCTTCTTTTTTTCTCTTTTTCTTTCTTTCTTTCTTTTTTTTTTTTTTAAAGATTTATTTATTTATTCATACAGAACTGGGGTACAGGCCAGAGATGTGGAGGGTGAGAGGATTCATCAGAGACAGAGTGGGGTACAGAACAGGCAGACCCAAGAAGTACACTGCTGAGGGGAGCAGCGGGCGGGCCAGGAGAGATCTGCCATGCCATGTGGTCTCCTCCAGGGCAGGTGGGAATCGAACTCATGCGGAAGCAGCTTTAGATTCTCAGTGCTGTGCTTTAACCCGCTGCGCCACCAGGGGGGGCCCTTTTTTTCTCTTTTTCCCTTCCAAATTTCTCTGTTTAGGAACCTATACAATCTTTTGTAAATTAGATTTTTCTTTATTTTTTGGTAGTGTATTCACTATGCTCTAAGTGGATCTAGACACTTGATCAGCTTCAGGTATGATTCCCTTCAGTTTTGATCAGCTTCAGGTATGATTCCCTTCAGCAGATATAGAAATGGTTACTGTTCTTCATCATGTATGATATTAGTAATCCTTGATACTTAAATGACTGGAGCTGTTAATTGATGACTACAAAATAGTAATAGTCTAATCATATTATTCCTTTTTCATTTATTAATTAGAATCTCTTTATAGCATTAGTTCCCTTATCTATTTGTTTACTCTGCTACATGTAGGAAAGGCAGAATAAATGATTAATCGCCCTACCTGATTTTTTTAATATAATAGTTTATTTTTACAACATTTTATCTCTTTTTCCATCTCAGTTATAATCCCGTGAGCTTCCCATCACCTTACTTGATTTTTTATTTATTAATTTCAATTTAATAAATTGGTCTCTTCTTATCTCCCAAACTTGGCCAGTTGATTTAGTTTGAAAAATATTACGAGCTCATAGATTTAAAGCTATATGAGTTTCAGTCCATTGAAAATTATCTGTAGTGAGGCTCATATTTTTTTCTTTCAGGATAGTAATGACTGCAGGATGTTTCACAAGTTCTTTTGACAGCACTAATACTTTTTCAGTTTTTTTGCAATGTGATACCTCAACTTGTTCCAGACTCATCTTGTATGTTTCTTATTTCTGATTTGGAATCAGCCTTACTTCTTTAAAAAGAAAAAAAAGAGAGAGAGAAGAAAAGTCCCTATTTCTTTAAGTGGGAAAACCATTTTCAGGATCATGGGAAATACCATTTTCAGGATCACAATCAGGATGGCTAAAGATGCTTATTACTGCTGCTCTGGTATTATTTTTTCTAGGCCTCAGTAATGACCAGAACTAAGAAGAGTTGAGTGTGTAATATTCATGTATATGTATTTAAAGCTAAAGCCCTCATGAATTTATGCTGATACTTTCAAATTTCTACTTAACCTTTTTTCTTTTTTAAAGATTTATTTATTTTATTCATACAGAACTGGGGTATAGGCCAGAGATGCGGAGGGTGAGGGACAGAGTGGGGAGCAGAACAGGCAGATAGGCGAAGTACACTGATGAGGGGAGCAGCGGGCAGGTTAGGACAGGTCTGCCATGCCATGTGGATCTCCTCCCAGGCAGGTGGGGATCAACTCATGAGGAAGTGGCTTAAGATTCTTAGTGCTGTGCTTTAACCTGCTGCACTACCAGGGAGGCCCTTTACTTAACCTTTTAAGATTACATATCTATCACTAAATCTCCAAGCTAGGAAAGATAGAATTACGATATCCCATGATTACTTATTTGTATTAATCTCATATTAAACACACAAACACAAACAGAGCAGTCCTAAAGTAAGACAGTTACTACCATTTGACCACTAAAAATACTAAATTTTTATATGTGCTGCACCATTTTTTTTAAAAAAAAAAGATTTATTTTTATTTATTTGTATAAAACTGTGGTGTAGGCCAGAGGTGTAGGGCGTGAGAGGATTCACTAGAGACAGAGTGGGGAGCAAAACAGGCAGATGTACTAAGTATACTGCAGAGGGGAGTAGTGAGTGAGACAAGAGAGGTCTATGGTGCCAAGTAGATTAGCTCCCTGGCTGGGGATTGAACTCATGCTATAGTGGCTGGGGATAGCTTCATAGCGCCGACTTTAACCCTTCACAGTTGGGGAGGCCTTCTCCCTATTATTTTATATCTGTATGAAGCATATAGTCATAACAAACTTTAGCTTTTATCCTGATTTAATATTAGTTCTATATATTTAGTTGTCTGTTGTGATAACTATGTTAAAGAACATGTTTATAAAAAGTTCCAGGACATATATAAAAAAGGTAACACTTCATTGTGGTGATGAGATTATCAGTGGTCTTTTTTGATTTATTTTTTAAGTAATTATTTTGTATGCAGTAATACAACTTTTAGTTTATAGACTTTTTAGTCTTTATTATGTGTCTCCTTTTCTCCTTCTTGCTTCTGCCATCTTTTATTTGTATTTTTTAGTAGTTTATTCTTCAGGAGTCTAGCCATCTGTGTTTAAAATAGCCTGTTAATTCTTTAGGCTATTTGAGTGGTTGGAGTATTAGAACAGTCAACAGTAATTTCAGAGGGTATTTATAAAAATTTCTATACTAAAAATATCTTGACTGTTTATCACGTTTTAATTTTAACAGGTTTGCAGAATGGCTTCTGATTACTCAAGAACATGTGCTAGCCCAGATAGCATTCAGACTGGAGATGCTCCTATTGTCTCAGAAACCTGTGAGGTTTATGTTTGGGGAAGCAACAGTAGTCATCAGTTGGTAGAAGGCACTCAGGAGAAAATTTTACAACCCAAATTGGCTCCTAGTTTCTCTGATGCTCAGACTGTAAGTTCTCTGCTT